GTGACTACAAATTCTATCAGTAATATATTTGTCTTTGTCGCATTATAGAATGAGAGCCTTAAAAAGAAAGAAAGAAAGACAGACAGACAGAAAGAAAGAAAGACTCGAAGCACAAGGCCATCACCAGGGCATATCATGAAGCAGTGTTACGACAAGGTTAAACTGCATGAGTGAGAAGTTGGATTTTTCCGGTCATGACAATTCATCTGCTCATTCTTCAAGAGTACCAAGGGCTGCTCTAAGAGAAGTTTGTTAGACAACCTTACCCCGGCCAGCCTGCAGGCCCAATCTTGCCTCTTCAGACTTCATTTTGTTCCCCAAACTCCAAGAATATTTCAAAGAAAGACAATGCTGACTCCCTTGCAGAAGTCAAAGCTGCTGCTTTGACATGGTGCCAATTGAAGAGTGCAGAATTCTTCAATAAAGGGTTAAAAACATAGGAACATTACCTTCAAAAGTGTACAGACTTAGGTGGATAATATATCAAGAAACAATAGCTTGCCATTTTGAAATTTTATTTTATAGTGGTATCTACTATTTTGAAGCAATTTTTTTCTGTTCATGTTTTTTAAAGTCTTATTGACATAATACATGTACCATACAATTTAATGTTTTAAATATATTCCAAAGAATTGTACAGATGAAACAATATTTTTGGCTTACCTTATGTATGTGTACACACACACACACAATGCATACATAATTCACTGCCATCAAGTCAATATTGATTCATAGTGACCCCCCCTGTGTGTTTCTGAGACTGTATCTGTTTACAGTAGAAAGCCCAGTCTTTCTACCAAGGAGCTGCTGGTGGTTTCAAACTGACAGCCATCTGGATCACAGCCCAACTCTTAAGCACTTCACCACCAAGACTCATACAAACATACATGCATGCATACAGTCATTCCTTGGTATCCATAGGGAACTGATTCCAGGATCCCTTGGATACCAAAATAAACAAAGGCTTGTATCCTTTGTATAACATAGCATAGTATTTGCATATTACCTATATACACTCTCCCATATACTTTAAAAACTCTCTAAATCTACTAGTGTCAAGCCAATTCTGATTCATAGTGACCCAATAGGATAATACAGAACTTCCCCTTTGGGGTTTCCAAGGCTGTAAATCTTTATAGAAGCAGACTGCCTCTCCTTTCTCTTACAGAGTGACTGATGAATTCAAACTGCTGACCTTGTGGTTAGCAATCCAATGTTTACCCAACATTGCCACTAGGCTTTCCAAAAAACCAAACTTACTGCCACAAAGTGTATTCTGACTCATAGTGACCCTACAGGACAGAGTAGAACTGCCCCTGTGAGTTTCTGAGACAGTAGCTCTTTACAGGAATAGAAAGCCCCATCTTTCTTGTGAAGAGCAGGCTGGTGGTTTAGAACTGCTGACCTTGTGGTTAACAGTCCAACATGTAATCATTACACCACCAGGACTCGTATCAGGATTCTAGATTACTTATAATGAGAAATACAATATAAATAAGTGTAAATAGCACTTTATACTCCTTCTTAGTCTTTGAACAGTTTCATTGTTTTTAAGGAGCCCTCTAGATCATTGTTCAGCATCCACAGATTTCCTATAGGGTCATTTGTGCAACTCGTGAAGCTGCAGATATGAAAGACTGATCGTATATATATCCCACATCTTATTGTGTCCAGGGCTTCAAACCAGTCCTTCCCAGTTCTGTCATGGACAACAAAGCAAAGATGGAAAAGATCTGAATTTGTTAAATGTAGGTGTATTAGGATAGCAAGAATGATAAAAATTGCAGGTTGATATCTTACTAGAAATTTAATCTCTGTCTTAGAATACAAGGTAAGCAAGCACATTGCATAGTAATCAAATCCCTTGTGTCCCAAATTAGGGTACCTGGTTCACAGAAAGCAGTTTATCATATTGCTTTGAATGTGTGTCATTCTTCACAAGTGATAGTAGTCCACATTCCCACATTCGCTACACCTCTTCCATGGTTTCAACCCAGGAAAGATGAAGCTGGATTGGCCAGTGTTCCTTTCTGTCGTCCTTAAGGTCAGAACCTATTCAACACCACCTAACCACCACCACTTAACCCAAAGACTGGCAGTTTGAACCCACCCAGCAATATTGTTGGAGGAAATGGGGAGGGGCCTAACAATCTACTTCTGAAGACATACCGTCATGACAAATCTATGGCGTTAAACTCTGTAACATATCAGAATCTAGTCAATGGCAATAGGTTGATTTTGTTTTTGGTAAAAGGTATAATGGGCTCTCATTGTGGTTTTCAAGTCCCTACACTATTGGCTATCAGATTTATTGAGGAGAGTTATACAAGTAAAGAGAAAATTGTAGTTCTGTTATGAGCTAATAATGGCAAAAACCACCATCATGCAACTTTGTCATACAGGAAGTAAGCAGTTAACTTACATGTGGCAAAATCACATGTCAAATGGTAAAAATTTTAATTCAAATACAAACTATGAGCTACTCAAGTGGAGTGAGACACCAAGTGCTTAAAAGGATAGGGCTCCAGAAAGGACAGCTTCTGGGCACAGGTCATAGGCTCAAAAGTAGCCCTATGCTGGGCTGAATGCTCTTTGGTTGCTATCTTGAAACGCTTAGTAGGGTTTTTTAAACAGTTTTATTGGCATATACTTTATGTATAATCAATTCCATACTTCAACCATATCAAGAAGAGATGTATAATCATTGCCATAATCTGTTTTGAACATGAAATGTCTACTAGTTTTATCATTGAATTTGTGTTTTATAAGTGAAGTCCAACATGCTTCTGGGGAGAGTCTCCTTATTATGAACTGTGTCATCCATGAAGGTGTGCTGTAAATCATGGCTTATTGGCAGCAAGTTACACCTGCGAAGTCAGAAGCTCCAAACGAGAAGTGATTTGACACGCTGCTCCTATTAAGATTTAAGCCAGGGAAACTCTATGAGGCATTCTACCCTGCCCGACACATCAAACCACTCACTGTCATCAAATCTATTCGGACTCATGGCAACCCTATTTAGGGTTTCAGAGACTGCTCATTTTTCCGGGAACAGACAGCCTCATCTTTCCCCAGAGTGGCTGATGGGTTTGAATCATGAAGCTTTTGTTGTTCTACATAGTCACTATAACTCTGAGTCAACTATAAAGCACACAACATACTTGAAGTGTAATCCCATTTGAGGGCAGGGGTTTTGTTATACAAAAGAAATCTTATCAGTGTAGATTGTACCTTCAACCTAATCCATTTTAAAATATAGAAAGAGCAGGTTAGGCTTTGAAGCAAGCAAGCAAGCAAGTACAATTCAGGGAAAGATGGGTGCTACCTGGAGATCTCCAAAGAACACGAAGGTGAATGTTGGAGAAACTGAAACAAGGGTATTCTCCCAGGGCAGACTCCTAAACCATGAGAAAACACCGCTGCTTGTTAACACCACTCATTTGTGGTATTTTAAGATATTCCGCCGATGGGCTTTCTAGTTTTCCACTACGTGCCAATGATAAGAAAAGCTGCCACCTTGTTCGGGTGCATTTACTCCTCTGAGTTGCTGGGGACGGTTGAGGGTATGCACTAGGCATACCAGTATCACTGGGTTTGAAAGAATGCCACTTTAGATAACAAAAGATTAGAAACTTTAAAGCTCTCCATGAAAGATGGAGAGGTCCTGAAGAAGAGAAAACTTTTTTTCCTGATTTTTGCACAAGAGGTCTAACATTTTAATCTTGTACTGAGCATCCCTATTATGAAATTATGTCATCAGCCGATCACCCCAGCAGGAGTAAATGGCCCCAGCTCTGTGCTTCTGGGCAGGAGAGTCGGTTGCTCTGAAATCAATTGCCACATCCGTAAAATTAAAGTAGCAATCCCTTTCTTGTGGAATTTGTTAAGATTTTCTAAATAATTCATGCAAAGTGTCTGGCCCTGCCCTTGACAAGGTTCAGTAATAGAATGCCGTATTAGTTGTTTCAAAATTTAAAAAAAATTTTTGTTGTTGTTGTGGAGTCCGTTCCCGCCCTGGGCTGCCCCGTGTAAATAAACTACTTAGTATTTAGTTCAGATTCACTCCTTAATGTCTCCTCTTCCCAAAGTCATTCCCACAGGCAGACGTTAACAAATGCACGTTGTTTGTGCTTCAGAGCTTCATTGTGCATGTGTGGAGAAAAATCTGTCCACACCTCGGTGATCTGGGGATGGCATAAAAAGCTGCGAGGCTCTCATCCGCACCGTGGGTCACTTCGTGGGCTGTGAAACTGCAATGCAAGGTTTGCTCTGCGGGAGACAAGGCGGGCTTGCCACTCCTTTTCAGACATCGTCTCGGAAACTCCCAGGGGCACCCACTAGTCCTCGACGGTCCTATGAGTCAGAGTTCACTCCAATGGCAAGGAGTTTGAGACTCTATAGAAAGCCATAGGTGAGTTACTCTGTTGATAACTACAAGGGCTGCAATTTGAACCCAGGAACCGTTCTACTGAAGAAAAGCGAGACTTCCGGATCCCTTAAAGCTTGACAGGCTGGGAAACCCATTGGAGCGATTCCAGTTTGCGCTACAGGTTCACTCGAACTCCGAACCGACGCCGTGGTGGTGGAGTTTTTGTATTTGGTTTCCTTAAGAACCAAGGAACCTTCCAGACACTAAATCCAAAGGCGGAAGCAAAGCTCGGCGGCTCCTGGCAAAAAGCCTCTTCCCCCTCACGGACAGACAAAACCGAACTCCCAGCAGCGCCAGCGCCCGTCAACAAGCGGAAACAGTGAAATCGACCCCCTAAGAGTGGCAGCCCTCAGCTTGCACGGCTCCCTCGGGTCAAAGAAGTCGCGACCGATCCTAAAAACTCCTTCCTCCGCCGGGTCCCAGCGCCGGAAGACGCTGTCGTTACTTCCGCTCCTCCCCTTGACTGACGTCAGTAGCAACGCGTTTTGGGCGGAAGAGGCCGCCGTTGAAGGGCGGGGCTACGCAGCCGCGGTTTCGCAGACGCCATTCACGTGCTGGCCGCGGAGGCGTGTGGGTTTCCTAGAAGCTTTTCCTGGATTTTCTATGGCTCCGCCGGAAACTCTGAACCTCAACAACGAGGTGAGCATTGACTTTAGGGGCTCGGAACCGACTCCTCTCTGTGTCTTTCCGACGTGCCCGTCATCTGCTGAGTTGAAACTCCGAGTGCCAGGCGTGTGCGTAGGGGATGCTGCCGCAGGAGCATCTTCATGGACCCTGGGGGGTTTTCTGACCTCGGACCGCGGGCATGGTAACGCCCCTGACGGTATCGTAGTGACTGAATCCAGGGCCATACCGCTGGCTCCTGGGCCTCACAACTTTTTATCTGCGAGATACGGGGAAGATCAGTGTCTGTATCATATAAAATGATAGCTCAGAATATAGTACCTTCCTCACAAAGTCTCGCTGCCAGCGAGTCTATTTGGACTCTCAGTGAGCTTGTAGAACAGGGTAGAACTGCCCCTGCGAGTTTTCGAGATTGTAACTCTTTACAAGAGTAGAAAGCCTCATCTTTCTCCCGTGGAGCCGCTGATGGTTTCGAACCCCAGACCTTGCAACCTTGGGAACCCAACATGTAACCACTACACCACCAAGGTTCCTTCCTCACAGGGTGGTTGGGAGAATTTAGTTCACTAAGATTGTAAAGTGTTGGCACCGTGCAGGAAAGCGATAGGTGTTAGGAAACGTTCCCTGCTATTACTGACTGTTGAAAGTTTAGAGTTCTAGGTTCTCCTAAGAAATTGTGGACCTTAAATGAGACTACTGTTTGAGGGCATGTGCTCAGTACTGCCCCACTTCTCATTTCATTTAGAGTAAAGCTTTTGAAAAAGTGGTTTATTCTCATTACTCCTTGTTGCATTCTGCCTTAAATCTAGTTTCATTAGACCAGTGGTTCTCAACCTTCCTAATGCCCCGACCCATTAATACAGTTCCTCATGTTGTGGTGACCCCCAACCGTAAAATTATTTTCGTTGCTACTTCATAACTGTAATTTTGCTACTGTTATGAATCATAAATATCTGATCTGCAGGATGTATTTTCATTATTACAAATTGAACATAATTAAAGGATAGTGATTAATCACAAAACAACATGTAATTATATAGTGAAATATTTGTGTGTTTTTTTATGGTGTTAGGGGACCCCTGTGAAATGGTCATTCAACCCCCAGAGGGGTTGCGGCCCATGGGTTGAGAACCTCTGCATTAGACCTTTTCTCCTCACCCCCATCATAACTTGTTATTGTCATTTTTGCCACCATTCATTTTCTGCTTTTACCCAAAGAATTAATGAGGTATTTATAGCCTTGAATGAGGACCCTACAACTACCCCAAAGGAAGTTTTTTCAGTAGTCTTTATACGTTGCATATATAGAAGACTGTTAGAGCTTTTGGTAAGTGCTGTCCAGTTGGTTCTGACCCATAGCCACCCTATGTACAGAACAGAACACCACTTGGTCCTGCACCATCCTTACACGTCTCCATATGCTTAAGCCCATTGCTGCAGCCTCTGTGTCAATCAGCATGTCTAGGGTCTCCTTTTTTCTTAGCCTTCCACTTTACCAAGTGGGATGTCCTTTCCCAGGGCCAGGACTCTTCTGATAACATATCCCAAGTACATGAGACAAACTCTTGCCTTCCTGACCTCTAAGGAGCAGAAAATTCTGCCTGTATTTCTGAGACAGATTTGTTTGTCCTTTTGGCAGTTTGAATATTTTGAATATTCTTCTCCAGCACCACATTTCAAACGCATCAATCTTCCTATTAAGTGTCCTACTTTCACTTATATTTGAGGCGATTGAAAGGCTATGACTTGGGTCAGGCGCACCTTAGCCCTCAGAGTAACTTCCCTGCTAACACTGTAAAGAGGTGCTGTGCAACAGATTTGTCCAATACAACTTATCGTTTGATCTCTTGACTGCTGCTTCCATGAGCATTGATTGTGGTGAAATTTATGACAACTTGAATTTTTCGCCTTTTCTCATCATATTACCTATTGGTTTAGTTGTGAGGATTTGGAGTTTCTTTATATTGAGTTGTAACCCATACAGAAGATTGAAATCCTTAATCTTCATTTCAATTGTGTAAGATATATGTCTTGTTTTCAAGTAATCTGCACCATCCAATTGGTTAAGCATGAGAAAGATGAGGCTTTCTACTCCCTATAAACAGTCTCAGAAACCCCTAGGGACAGGTCTGCCCTGTCCTATAGGATTGCCATGAGTTGGAATTGACTCGATAGCAGTGAATTTGGTTTCTTGGAAGCGTACCAACTCCAATACAGAACAGTGTCTGAAGAGTGCCTAGAAAAGCTACAACAGGGCAAGACTGTTTGATAGAAGGCAAAATGGTGCAGGGTACATAGCTTCGGTCTTCAAGGATCTTGGATGATAAAGGGGTAGGTAACTCTCCACTGACCATAATTTGTCAGAAACAACTGATTTACTGCTAGATTAATTAGTCTGGATTTTGTTGAGTAGACGGTTGCGGGGGAGGGTGGTACTGGATATATTCCAGAGGGAAACTGGCACATTTAAGATTTCCTGAAAACTATACATTAAGCTTGTGCTTTGTGTGCAATTTGGTGGTATAATATCCATTAGGTTAACTATGTGGTATAAAACACCTTTTCAGAGAGATTACTTTGTGAAAAGATTTGAGTGAGAAAAAGAAGACTTTCTGCTTCCATAAAGATTTCTATCCTCTGCCACAGTACAACGCTCCAAGCAGGTGCTAAACATCAGTATCGGAAAGAGAACAGCTGTGGCCCCTTTATGTTACAGGTTAAAATTCCAAGCATGTAAAGATCCATAAAAATCACAAGTAGGCCCCTGGATCATAATAGATGAATAGGAATTTTATAATCTTTAAACTGCAAGGAGAATGGCTTACTTTTGTACCATTTCCTATTGTGATTACAATCATTGTCCTGAAGGCAGATGCATGTTGTGCCTTCTCTGGTTTTTCCTTCACTCTATCACAAGGAGACAACAAAATGGTAATGCTGCTGTACATCCCTTGAAAGACAAAAAAAACCTATGTAACTTTAAAAAGAAAAAGAAAAAGATTTATATCCTCCACCTCAGAGGAGCAATTCTACTCTGACCTACAGGGTCACTGTCAATAACAATCCACAAGATGGCAGTGGCAGTGTGTGGACTAGCGAGTTTCCTTCCCGACTCTGAAATTAGTTTGAAAGTAGTAATGAGGGAAGAAGTCATCTAAGATTCTATTTCCATTCAACTAATTTCCAGGTCTCTTCAAGTCTCAGATCTTTTTCTACTTTTCTGTCACTACTGCTATTTTTGTTGTTAGGTGCCATTGGGTTGGCTCCAACTTACAGGGACCCAATGCAAAACAGAACAAAACACTGCACAGTCCTGCGCCATCCTCACAATTGTTCCTGTCCCAGCGACCACTGAGGCAATCCCACTGTATCAGTCCATCTCTTCGAGTGCTTGCCTCTTTCTGCCTCCCACCTACCCCCACCCCACACCCACATACCCTTTACCAAGCATGATAGCCTCCAGGGGACTGATCTCCTCTAACATTAAGCCCACAGTGTGTAAGACAAGCCTTGCCATCCTTGCCTCTGAGGAACACTCTGGTGTTACTTTTTTCAATACAGATTACTTTGTCCTTTTAGCAGTCTATTATACTTTCAGTATTCTACTGTAATAGCTTCCTGTCTGCTTACTCATATTGACTCTTTTCTGCCTCTAGTCTGATCTCTGTATTGTACTTGACACTATACTTAAAAGCAAAACTCCAGTCAGGCTACTCTTTTACCTAAAACCCATTTACTACCTTCTTGTAGCGTTTGGTAAAGACACATTTAAACAAGGCCAATCCTTCCACCTCTGTTCTACCGTTCTCCCTTAAACTGTATACTTGACCCTTGCCAACCTTCCTACATGAACTACTAGCCTAGCCCACCACAGTTCGTCTTTTTTTATAGATGCTGATCCTTTTACCTGAAACTCCTTGTTCGTCTTGTTAGTTCATCTAATACTTAATTCTATAGTTGTTACTGTGTTTGGAAAACCATTTTTCAAATATTCATTTACCCGCTTTATAGGCTTTTGTAGCACAATTCACTAGTTGCTCTGTGTGAGACAGAGAGTACTAACTCGCCCCCCAAAAAAATCAGAATTGTGCTAGGTGAGCATCGAGCAGTTTGCTCTGAGTTAGTGCACCCAGTGGTGTTTCTTGGGAACGTTCTCTCTGGTCACAGTGAATTTTTTGTAAAAGCAGTTTCACTAAAACCTAGTTTTTTGTGATGGCTGATTTAAGAGAACACCACGTGGCTATGATATTTTGTTTCCTGCTCTGGAAAATTGCCTCAGAAACTGTTGTCATGTTAAATATAACTTACGAAGACAGCAGTATGGGAAAAACTCAAGTTTTGAGTGGTTTTCTTGTTTCAGAAGAGTTGAAATGTTGATTGATGACATACCTCATTCTGTAAGTCTGTCGTCTTCCCTAATGGACTAAAATGTTGACTTTTTGTCGTTTCACCAGGTCAGACTGTTAATCAAGCTTTCTATTTAGAGGTTCCGAACGGGTTGAGTAAAGTGTGTGACAAAAAAGGCCTGATTTGTTTTGCCGTGACACAATGCACCTGCTCACACAGCCATCTCAGTGTGCCGCTCACACTGCCATCTCAGTGCGCCAGTTTTTGGCAATTAACAGCATGCCTCTCATGCCCCATGCACCTTACTCACATGATCTCGCCCCATGCAACTTCTTTGTTTCTGCAAATGCAGAGTGACATGAAAGTGATTTGACAGCATAGAAAAGGTGAAGAAAAAAATGAACGCGGTGCTGTCAGCCATCCCAACAGATGAGTGAAAAATGTTTCCAATAATAATCACAGATTTGACAAATGTATTCAGTGTAATGGAGAGTACTTTGAAGGTGATACAGTTGTTTTGTAAAAAAAAATTAAATACATAACTTTGGGGGGGAAATTCCAGTTTTGGGGGTTACCCCCTCGTATAAGAGAGAAACGGATTCTTATTCCTCCTCTTCCCTCTTGATTGTAAAATTTTCAGCCTGTTACATTGAATACATATCTGTTGA